CGGCCAGCGCACCTTCCCTCCAGCTGCTTGGACGGCATGAGGTCGGCAACCGGCTTCCAGCTTTGACAAGACTCTCCTCCCCAAAGAGTTGCACCAGGGCTCTCGTGCATGAAGCCTTCCGTCTGATCCTCCAGAATCGCGCCTGAACAAAAGGTCGTACTACTCCGCTGCTTGAATATTAGGGAGGCACTGTCCCGCCTTGCGTTCCCCAAACACTCACTCCTCCCGCCTCCCGCGCCGGCGGGCTCTAGCTCGGGACCGGAGGAGTGGACCACCTCTCCCGGGAGGTCCTCGAGTTGGGCGGCAGCGGGGCATGGGGGAGGGAGGGGGATACAGACCGCTCCACGCAACGTCCGCAACCCGACTTTCCTGGTGCATTTCCGAGGGGCAGGTGTACCATCGAACTGGCGCTCCCCGTCCTTCACCCGTTCCCCGCCTCTTGGCTTCTCGGGGTCGGACCTCGGTACAGGGCCTCGGCGCGCCAAACTAACAGGCCTAACCTGTCCCCACCCGCAGTGACACTCAGGAGCGCTTCCCTGGAAGGTGAGCCACGCGGAAGAGGCGCCTCGCCCGCGAGGCCAGACCGTTAGTGAGTGTAAACAAACGCAGAACTGCCAGGAAGGGTGCAGCACGGCAGGTGACGGGGGAAACGCGCGCTCACCGTCCCGAGGACTCCAGGAGCTCGCACAGCACACGAGCGCCCCAAACCCGGGCAGACCCGTGCACACCGACGCGCACAAAGGAGTTCGCGGGGATCCCCGCCGCCACGAGTCCCCCCCGGGCACTTCCTCCCCTGGACACTCAACCCTGATACACCGCACCCCGGCGCCCGCGTTTACCTTTGAGCAGGCAGATGTCGGTGCGCTCGGCGTTCCGGCGCAGCGCCTGCACGACCAGCGACACCGTGCTGTCCTCGCGGAGGCTCTCGGCGCGCGGGCTGCGCTCGTCATAGACGATGACGGCCGAATAGAGGCCGGATCGCAAGCGGGAGCGCACCTCCTCCTCGGCGGGCAGGATCTGCTCCAAGCTCACGGAGCCTTTGGCCCGCCGACGCACGATGGTGTTGCAGCGCACGTTGACCGAGCCTCGGATGTAGCCCGCGCTGTGCGCCAGGAACGGTCTGCAGTCCAGCAGCAGGCACTTGCCGCCGCTCAGCAGCCCCAGGGCGCCGCCGCCGTTCTCGTCCCGGTTCATCAGCCTTTTGAGCACGCTGCAGTCCATCTCCCGCAGCTCCTCCACCGTCACCATGGTGGCTGGGAACCGGGGCTGCTGGCACACGAGGCGGCGAACAACAGCTGGGCGGCTGGAAGGGGCGGGCGAGGGCTGAAGGAGGGCGCGTGCAAAAGTGGCCAGAAACTTGGCCCGCAGGGACTCGCACAGGAGACCGTCTGGTTCCCAGTAGCTTTCCTTCCGCAGTCTCGCAGTCACAGAACAGTCCGAGCAGCCTCGGGCACCCGGCAGCACCGCGAGGTGCGAGGGGGAGGCGACGGTGAAGGGGGCTGTGTTTACGCGAGTGGGCCTAGGGCTCCCTTCTGTCGTGGCCTCTTTGTATTTTG